GCCTCAGGGCCCAAAGATTTGACTTTTAGGAATGGTATCTCTTCAGGATCCCCATTAGGGTAATGCAGGTGGAGTCCTGATGGTAGTGCCCCCTCTGAGATTTCAGAACTACAAAGCCATCAGTGTGTGAAATTCCACCCTGGAAGAGCCAGTGGCATCTGACTCTCTCCATCTAAAGCTGCTGGGTGTGCTGTGTCCAGCAAAACCACCAGGGCAAACTATTTACGGCGTTGGGTGTCCAGTCTCTACCTTAGCATGTTGCACATGGAGTCAGAGGTTATTTTCAAGCCTTAAGACTTCATGTTTGCCCTTGAGACATGTTACTCCTTTTCCTTGACTCTTTCTCTGTGTTGGAATTAGATTTCTATCTTATAGCTGGCCTGCAATTTTATTTTGGAAGCATATCACTTGTCTGATTTCATGAGTTCATGATTAGAGGGCAGTTTGTCTCAGAATGAAACAAACCTTTGAATCTTACCCACAGCTTACTTAAATGATACATGATTCTCTGAATTTTAGACGTGGAGTTATTTCTAGAACAAGTCACTGGAGCTATTGGGATGGAAACAATGTGATTTTGTGTATGAGGAGAACATGAATTCTGAGGCATCGGGGTAGAATACTACTTTTTTTTTCCTTCTGAAATTCATGTTGAAAATGAATTCCCAAAGCAACAGTATTAAGCGTTAGAAGGTATGAACCCTGCTATGTAATTGTGACTGACTTATTTAGATTCTGCCCTCATGAATGGGTTTAAGTGCTCTTATAAAAGGGCTCTCTCAGTCAAGCCCTTCTGTTCCCTTTCATCCCTTCCTCCATATGAGGATACAGCAGGGATCCCCAGAGAATGTAGCAACAAGGTGTCATCCTGGAAGCAGAGATGTCTTGCTATGACAGCAGGAGTGAATGGTGATAGATGATCCTGTAGTTTTTATTCTTCATTCTGTTAGTGTGATGTATGACACTGATTGATTTTCATATGTTGAACTATTCTTACTTTCCAGGAATAAATTCATCTTATTATTCTATAATATTTTTAAAGTGCTCTTGAATTTGATTTGCTAGTATTTTGTTGAGGATTTTTATGTCAATTTTCATTAGAGATAATAGTCTTGTCAATTTCTTTTTGCATTGAATCTCTCTTTGGTTTTGGTGTCACTGCCTCCTAGATTCAGTTGGGAGTGTTTCTTTTTCTTTTGTTGTTTGGAAGAATTTGAAGATGTTTGGTTTAATTCTTTTTACATTTTTGGTGGAAATTTATGATTTAGCCACCTAGTCTTGGGAATTTTTTATTTTGGGGGAGAGATTTTTTTTTTAAATTATGTCTTCAATTCTCTTATTAAATTTGGGGCTGTTCACATTTTTAAAAACTTTTATGAAGTATTCATGATAGTTTCAATGTTTCTATCCAATTTTCCATTTGTCCTTTGTTATTCTATTTTTAAAAATATGATTATTCGTAATATTTTTGTATAATCCTTTTGATTTCTGTGGTATCGGTTGTAGTGTTCCCTTTCTTATTCCTGTCTTCATTTTAATAGTCTGGTTTGTTTTGTAGTTTTCTTTCAAGCAAAGAATTTATCAATTTTATTGATATTTAGAAAATATCTCTTGATTTTTTAAATTTTTTGTTTTGATTTTCTTTTGGATTTTCTTGAGTTGTAAAGTTGGGTTTTTTAATGTAAACATTTCCTGCTATAAAATTCCCTTTTATTACTGCTTTCATTCTGTCTTATACATGTTGGTATGTTGTATTTTTCTTTTCATTTATCTGCAGATATTTTCTAAATTCTTGCTTGTTTTATCTGATCCATTAGTTGTTTAAGAAATAAATTGTTTAAGAGAATGTCACTTTTATGTATAGAAGACAGGAAGTTTAATAGAGTTGAAGAAGGAAAATGATGGAGGGAAGAGAAGAAGAAAGAGCTTGAAATCAAAATCCTTGTATATATGATTTTGTTAAAAGGAATCCAATTACTTTGTATAATTATGATACTCCATTAAAATAAAATTAAAAATAATTTGTTGAATTTTCATAGTTATATATTTTCTTACTTTCTGCTGGATTGATATTAATTTCAATCCATAAGGAAGGGAAAACTGTGTTATATGATTTCAATATTCTTGTAATTTTTTAAAGATAGTTTTCTGGTCTATTTGTTTTTACTCTGTCTTGGATGTTCCATGAGTTCTTTGTGTGAGAGAGAGAGTGTGTGTGTGTGTGTGTGTGTGTGTGTGTGTTCGTGCAGGGATTGAACTCAGGGATTGAATTTACCCACTGAGCCACATCTCCAGCCCTATTTATTTATTTATTTATTTATTTTTATTTTGAGACAGGATCTTGGTAAGTTGCTTAGGGCCTTGCTAAGTTGCTGAGGCTGGCTTTGAACTTTCCCTCCTCCTGCCTCAACCTTCTCAGACTCTGGGATTACAAGAGTGCTCCACCAAACCTGGCTCCATGTGTTCTTGAAAAGATAGTATTCTATTTTTATAGGGTGGAGAACTCTGTATGAATCTGTAAGTTAAATTGGTTTATATTGCTCTTCAATATCTCTGTTCCCTTATTGATCTTTCTGGGTGTTTATCCATACCTGAAAGTTAAGTATATCTTTAACTACTGTAGTGTCGTTATTCATCTTTTAGTTGTCAGTTTTCTTCAGATATTAGGAAGCTGTACTGTTTGTCAAACTTATAATTATTATGTCTTCCTGGTAAATTGTTCTTTTTGTGTTATATACTGCCCTTCTTTGCCTCTTGTGACAGTTTTTGATCTAAAGTCAAAGTGTGAACACTCCTGTATCTTTAGAAGTCTTCAAGAACTCCTGTTATCTTTAAGTTCCCATATTTATGGGATATCTTTTTTCAGACTTTCATTTTTAGCCTATGAATGTCACTAGATCTAAAATGAATCTCTTGTAGATAGTATATAGTTTTTTTTTTTAAATTTATCTAGTCCACCAATGTCTTTTAATTGGGGAGTAATTCATTTATATTTTACATAACTTTGTATTTAATTTCCAGAAACTTTCTTAGCTTTGATAGTCAGTATCATTAATTTATTCCTAAAATATATCCAGTCTATTATTTAGGATAATATTTTACTTAAAAATTAAAAACACTGTTTTTGTTCTTTTGATCTGTAGTTGGTTCATTTCCATAATTGTCACTCAATTAGACTGTCACTCAGTAAGACTGTCTGGTATTCTTCATAAGCTAGCAGTGAAATACAGTGGTCAAGCACATGGTCTATCAAGTCCTAATAATCAGATGTGTCATCTTCCTAGAGTTACTTATCTATATCTCTGAGGGTGAAAATTATGGGGGTTTTGAGGATAAAACGTTTTAAAAATATCTATAGTGCTTGGGATGATACTATAAATATGACAAGCACTCATTAAATGTTAGAAAGTTTTAGAAATAAAATTGCATTACATCTTATCACTCCTATTCTTTGAATGTAATACTCACTCTTACTTTTTAACTATTCTTTGAATGTAATAATCTTAATTTTTAAAGAATATTAGATAGTATTAGCTATACTTACACCAAGATCCTATTTTGCTGTTTTTCAGGAGTTATTTCTTCAATTTGTTAGATTTGCTTTTTTTTTTTCTTGGTGTATACATTCTTCAGAGGTTAAACAGTTGTGTGTTTTTCTTTCTTTCTTTTTTTTAGTGTGTGTGTGTGTGCATGTGTGTGTGTGTGTGTGTGTGTGTATACTTGCCATTGGCATTGTACTCAATACAGCATCACATTCTGTGTTTTGCATTCAGTTTGGAATTATGCATTAGATCTGCTATGATAGCTTACTGCAAAGGTTAGATTTGTAATAACCCCTAAAGGCCCATGTGTTAAACTGTTGGTTCCCAGCCTTTGACTCTATTAGGAAGTGTTGGAACCTTTAAACCTTTAACTAGGTGGGGCCTAAGTTAGGTCATTAGGTATGTGTCCTTGGAGGGGATATTGGAAAGGGGTATTTCCTGTTTTTCAATTTACTTCCTGGCTGCCTTGGGTGAGCAACATCCTTTACCTCACACATGATGTTCTTCCTTGACACAACCCTAAAAGCAATGAGCCAACCTACCATAAACTGATATCTCTAAAACTGTGAGTCAAAATAAACCTTTTCTTTCCTTAAACTGATCATCTCAGGTGTTTGTTGCAGTAATTAAAACTTGACAAAGACACTTATATTACTTCTAGGGAAGTGATGGGATAAGATTTGTCTCAGGTATGGGTTATTTATAGCTTAGTTCAAGTGCTCCTACTTCCAAGGTGTTTCCTGTTATAAGCTGCATTGTCCAGTTTTTTTTTTTTTTTTTTTTACCAAGTTTACAGACTCTGTTCCAGCTTCACATTGAAGATTTCTTTTGAAAACTGCAGCATTTCTAGGAAAGATGTCTGTCTGCATTTGTGGAAATGGTCCAGTTAGTCAAATTCCATAGTTACTTCTGTTCCTGAATACTAATGCATCCCTTTAGGATGATGAAGATTGCTATTACTCAATTTCTAGTAGTTTAGGACTCTTATCCCTGGAGCTGTGCCATTCTTCACTGGCTTCTTGTTCGCACAGTCTCTCAGGTCTTCTTTCCTCATAGATTTTTGTTTTAAGAGTTGCTAAATGTTTCTGAGTATACATGTCTTACTGGTTCACCGTATTTGATGTGTAATGTAAGCCTGCAGTCCTGTTTCATTTATCTTAACTTAAAATGCATATATTTCTAGATATAAGCAATTTCTATAATATCAATCATGCTAAAATTTTATATTTTTCTGAAATGCAATCCATTTTGTTTTCCAAAAGTCATCTCTACACTTTAATCACAATGTTCCTTAATTTATTGCTACCAAATTCTGACTAGTTAATATAATAAATTCTAAGAAATATGTTAATTTTAAATCTGTTGAATCAGTCATTTTGATTGACTGATAAAAAATACTTTTTTATTTTATGTACTTCTGATTTACTAAATTATCTTTATTGATTTGATTTATTCTAGGTGACTTTTATCCTTTCAATTGATGGAAAACCTTACACTCTGCACCTTAGAAAACAGTAAGATCCAATTTTCCCTTTAAAGGAAAGAGAATTTTGTACTTAGATTTTACTTTCCTAAAATTTTTTGCACATTATTTAAATTCAGAAATACAATATAATATAAACTTATTTGTTGAACTACTCTTAAAATTAGGATTCATTATTAGCTTTTGGATATTAGCTCTATGAGGGCCATGTATTTTATTTTTCCAGTTTTGTATTTTCAAATTAAGAAATAAGCTACATACCTATAAATTTTTAATTAAGTATAAGCCATTGAATCCAAGAATGTTAAGTAAAGTATATTAAGTATATAAGAAATGAAAACAGACATTGTTAACTTGTCCATTGGTTGTTGGAAATTCAAGTAGTAACATCCTTTTTATGATGTGTTAATCCGATATATGTTTATATATATATATATATATATATATATATATATATATATATATATATATAACTTTATTTTATTTATTTATTTTTATGTGGTGCTGAGGATCGAACACAGGGCCTTGCACATGTGAGGCGAGCGCTCTACTGCTGAGCCATAACCCCAGCCCCTATATTTCTTTTTTATCAATCTTATTGAATATATTTTTATAAAATTCTCCACACAATACAGTAATTCAATACTTTTAAAATTGTTATGCAGTGTTGCAGTCATAAGCTCTATATAAGTTTACGGATATTTCTTTCCCCTTGTAAAACCCCTCATGTCAATTTAGTTAATCTCCAGTCCCACTGATAACTCCATGAAATTATCTACTTTCTGTATCATGATTTATATTTTCTCAATAGCTCATATAAATAGAGTCAAACAGCCACTACTCTGTTTGTACTTTTTAAATATTTATATTTTGTTATAAATATATTTATTATTATTGTCTTATATAAATACTTGATAAGATTATCAGTGTTGTTGATGAGTTTTGATAGTTGTTAGTCTTCATTTTTCTCAACCAGTTGACAGCTTTTGGAATAGCTGGTTAGTGTTTTTTTCATAAAATACTTTCCTTACTCATCTTGGAAATAACCACAAACTTTTGGTACTTGTTTGGCTCCTACTATGATTATTATTCCTTCTATTTGTCTCTATCTATCTCTCTCCTTTGTAGATTCCTCTTCATCTGTTTAATCTTAGAATACTTCAAGGTGAAGTATTCTTTTTTAAAAAATCTATATTTAACCATCTAATTATTTAGTTCAGTCTTGTGACTTTAAATGCCACCTATGTGTTAGATACTCCCAGATTTATATTCTTAACTTATTCTTCTCCTGTGAACACCATAGTCATTTATTTGACTATTTGATAATGAATGTTTATTAGGATTCACATCAGTAATATATTGAAAATGAATTTATTTTCCTCTTCCCAAATTTATATTTCTCATAATCATCTCAGTGAATGGCAACTCATCTCTTTCATTTTCTCAGAAAAAAAGAAAGAAATATGAAGGAAGAATTAAAAAAAAAACACCACATTGGAGTCAACCATGGATATCTTTTTTCTTTTATTTTCCCTTGGGTTCAGTGGACTATTTAACCACAGGTGATCTCAAAATATATCCAGCATCGAACCTCCACCACTACTACTGTCCTTGTTCAAGCCACCATCATGTCTGGCCTAGATAGCAGTAGTTGCCTTGAAGCTGGTCTCTCTGCTTCTGTGTATGTGCCATGTAAATTATTCCCAACACAGCACTGATTCCATTACAATGTTGCTCTGCTACTATCTTCCTCTGCCCAAATCCTCCAAAGCTTTCTCATCTCTGTGATACTACATCATCTTAGTATCTCTTCTTTCCACACTCTATTCCAGATGCATTGCCCATATTTGTTCTTTGTTTACATAAGCATATCTGTGCCTCTAGGTCCTTGCGTTTGATCTTAACTCTATCTGGAATAACATTTTTATGAAAATCCACATAGCTTGTTCTTCACATAGGTAACCATCTTTTCAGCAGGCCTTTCCATGCCGATCTTTTAATC